TTAAGCAATCATAGCAATTTAATATAAAAATAATAATTTTTCATTCACTGAAATACGAAATTCATATTTATAAAAATAGTATCTACATTCCTAGAAGGATTAAGTGAAATTTTTGGTAAATGTTAATTCGGATTATATTCTGACGTAATATAATCAACAATACTGTAAATACAATAAATAATAAGTAGTCGTTTATTTCCAGTGTTACAAAATATACCTTGAAAGTAATTACTATCATTCTTATCGAACTGCAGTTAAGATTATTTTCGCTTTTTCAAATAAATATTAAAAATCGTTATTAAATGGGTATTTTCAATTGACACACCCCTCTTATAAGCGGACTCCTTCTCTATCTCTCCAGAAGACACTAAATTTCTGTATGATTTATACAATTCAGTACTTCCCCGAGTTATAACATCTCTCTATTACGTGCGGCTGTCTATTTTTTTAAGCATCAAAAGAAGTTATTATCTTTTGAAAAAGACGATTTAGTATAAGAAAATTTGTACAAATACCTTCAGCTATTCTTTGGACAAATAATAAACTAATATAAGTTCAACTTAATATCCAAATAGAAGCAGTGTATAGCCATCTAGTGAGTAATTATTACTACTGAAGTATTTAAAATGCTATTTATAGTTTTCGATTTAATTGTTTTGTTTATTAATTAAAAAAGTTAATATACCTGGTGAAAACGAGTTCTGCGCAAAGAAATTAAAATTGTAACATTCTAATTAATTTATTTGCGATAAAAATGTAAAAATCATTCCTGTTTACAATTATATACACTATCTTACTTGTTTTTGAACTTTAAACTAACGGTTTTATACTTTTGCAGATAAGTTACTTAACTTTTACCTGATTGTGATAATATTTTTTCTCTTTATAGTAAATAATATAATACTTTCCGGTCTTAAAGATAATGAATAAAATGAAAATATGATTCAGCGTTGAATAATACAAAATCCAAACATTATAAGTAACAATTAATAATTACCTTGTGCATGTTTATTTATGTTATATTTTAAGAACAAGTTATTTTTAGATAAACAATCGACGGTGTGAACATCATATAATGGAAACCCTGTATAATGTGACTAGTATATTAATTAAGGTTGGACAGCGTAAAAACTATTATCTATAGTGATTCGATAATTTGGATTAAATGAGTATTTGTCAATTAATCGATTCCTTTAATCCCAATAATCGATTATTTTCGTACAATCGATAATCGACTGTTATATTTAATAATCGCCCAATACATTACCACAGTAGGTACCAATACTAACAAAAAAATAAAATAAAATAATTAACGTACCTCCCAACGATTTTAAAAATTCGACAAGGTTTTCGCTGCTAACAATTTCGTACTTTCCTTCAAGAGACATTCTGTTGCACTTTTTTGAACTATTTTTAACGATAAACGTCGGAGATAACTGAACTGAAGTCAATCCGTCATCCTCCTTTTATATTTTTGGTGACATCTTATCGCAGTGTACCTAGGAGTGTTCTGATAACAGTTTGTACCTTTGATTGGGAAAAAATTGGTACTCATCGAAAATATCATTACCACCTGACAACAGTGCATGTGTACATTGTACTTACGAGATAAATATAGTTTCAATACCTGCCAAATATTTTGTTTCACTGATGCATGAACCTATGAACTCCAGGTTAAAGATTTTTGAAAAAAAAAATGAAAATAACAATTTTTTTAAATAGTTTCTGAGTTAATGCAAGTATTTTGGTTAAATATAATCGGATTTTGCACAAAAATAGGTCAAAACTTTGAATTTTTGTACAGTAAGTCGGATCGAGATGCGATTTTCTGTATTCTATTCTTAAGACCGTCTACAAACTATTATACTATTACAAATACTAATTAAATACAGTGGAATTCGTTTATTATGATTCCGCCTATATTGACCAACCGCTTAATATGAAGTAATTGCAGTGTTAAGTTTGGTTTTCATATTAAATTCTCTATAAGAAAGTTTTAATATAATGACTCCGTTTAAATAACATATCGTTCATTATGACTACTTCTCAAGAAATCGTATCCGACTATAGTGACCCAAATGATTAATATTAACATTTTCGCTTATTTTTCTGCCCTTCTTGTGTGTATTGTTCTTCGTTCCTTTTCTTTTTATGTTAATAAATATATACAATTTGTAGTTTTTTCTCTATTAAANTACAAAATCCAAACATTATAAGTAACAATTAATAATTACCTTGTGCATGTTTATTTATGTTATATTTTAAGAACAAGTTATTTTTAGATAAACAATCGACGGTGTGAACATCATATAATGGAAACCCTGTATAATGTGACTAGTATATTAATTAAGGTTGGACAGCGTAAAAACTATTAATGTTTATTAGTCTTAAAAACCGATGTTGCTGTGAATTCTGGATATATTTGGTACTTCAATAGCACTAAAGATATGTTGTTGGATAGTACATAGTTCGTTATTAGTGGTTCAGGTAATCTTACACTCTTGAGTGTATTTTCATAAGATAGAAAAAGATGAAAGGTCTTTGAAAAAAAATATTTAATTTGTGAAAATGATATTTTGTAAATTCATTACTGTTTCATGCATTTGTTGCGTCTTTTAATGATTACATGTTCGTATTGTATATTTTTATGAATGTTTATCTTTTTGATTATGAATGTTTATCATCATACATATTAAATATAACGTTTACTAACGTGAATAACCATCCATAATGAGAACAATTGTTTTTTTCGGTTCATACTATCGATTCTTTGCATTCTACGTGACGAAGTTCGACAAAGAACTTTTAGTCAATCTTAAAGTAGACACTCTGTACATTACATATTTTAAATAAATTAAATCACTTTTAGTCAATGATGCGCCATCTATCGGACATAAGCACCATAATATTTTCATTGTGTATAACGTATAGAGAATACTGTTTGAAAGATTATTATTACTTTTTTAGATAAAAAAGCGCAACTTTTTTCATAAAAACCTTAATAGTTCGGATTCCTAACGATAAATATTTCTATATTCATAAGTAAAAAACTTCCAATCTTTTAATACTTAATTTTCTTAATAACAAAAATGTGTGATACATATATGATGTAGCTGGAATAATTATATAACACAAAACAGAAAAAAACAAAAGTATCTCATATTGTATATGTATATATATATATACAGTGCTTAATGTACACATTAAAAAATAAATTTAACAGACTTTAAAAACATTTCTTTAAAATTTACAATTGATTTAATTTTTTGAATTTGTTGAATTTGTAATTTTTGTATAGAGTCTTCTTCCCCACCAGGATTCAAGATCAAAAGGCTTAAAGTCTTGAAGTTGTGTACAAGGGCTCTCCTCAAAATACATTACCATTTGGGATTCTAAAAAACGAAACAATTTGCAGTTTCTTTAATTCATTATACATTAATTTTTAACTTTTACTTACTTTTTGTACTATCTTTATTATTATTGTTTTGTTGACTGTTTAATTCAGATGCTACTAAGTTCCAAGCTGAAATAGCAAAGTACATTTTAGATCACATAAATCTAAATAAAAAATACATACATTCATTTATATATGTGATAAGTTTCTCGTGATGTGGTGATATGTTGTCTTTACATTTCCTATTATTTGCACATTTTTTGGATTGAAATATTGGTTTTGGACCACTAAAATAAATGGCTCGTTACTATAATTACACAAAGCGAACTTACTTAATACATTACTTTACTATTTCGTTTTCATTTGAATCTAGAACTTTACTTCTATGTTGATTGTGTAAATTATCTAAGTTTTGTGAAATACCTAAAATTATAATATTTATTACAAACAGTTTTCAGTTCTATTAAAGTTACAATTTTACCTCTTCTTGTAGACTTTGCAACAATTTTACTTGGCCCTTTAATATTGTACATTACTATGCGAGTGAATATGTGGTGTAGACAATTATAAAAAATTTGGTTTAAAGAATATTAAAAATGTTGAGGTTAATTGTCTTATTCTGCATATGTTTTCTATGAGACATTTAATTTTTGAAATAATCCAAGTTCTAAACTGAGTAAAATTAGGATGATATTATGTTTCCTTTTTTATTGCTAATACAATTAATTCAATTGTATAAATTAATGATAAACATTCCGTAGCAAGGCATATTGTAATAGAGTCACTACACGTATTATGATCTATGATCATGTGCATAGATAAAGTTATTTGATGGTTATCTGTTGTGTATGGTTATCTGCCATTCTTATCTATGGTGTTAACCTTAGTTTTCCTAACGTACGTCACATTAATTTCGTTACTTTCTAAGGAATGTTTATTAAATAAAACAGCTAATATAATTATAATCTAACACTAATAGTATGCAGTAATATTAAATACTTGTGATGAAATGTCGGCTGCTTTAGTTCGAAAAAGTTTAGAAATTGTTGATCCTGAACTTAAAATTTTTAAAGGTAATTAATTTTATTAGTTTATAAAAATAATAGTTAAACGTTTGAAATATGAATATTTCAGGAAAAAAGAAAAAGAAAGAGGTTGAAGTTCCACAAAACTTTAAAGTGACAAAGAAAATAAGTCATAGCAAAAACAAAGGTAATTTCTTTATATTTGCTAATTGAGCTTTAACAGTTATTAATATGTATGATTTTAGTATCACAAGTTAATGTTCTTCAGCAAAACAGAAAATTGACTGTTGCTGAAGCTAAAAAGTCAAAGAGAAGTGAAGATCAAATTCTCAAAGAAAATTTAAGAAAGCTGAAAGCTATTAGAGAATCATGCAAACTTAACTTAAATAAAAATATTGTTGAAAAGGTAATTAAGGTATTCTTACAATTTTAGTATGCTTTTTATTGGAATTTTGACTTACAATTTCAGATAATTGAAAGAGCTGTAACAAAGCGTCCAGTTAAAATTAAGAAGAAATCAAAGGAGAAGAAAACTGCCTTCACTGAAGAAGATTTTGCTAAATTTGAAGAGGAATTTATAGACAATTGACGTGCTACAATGATACATGACCGAGATATAGGAACGGCAGGTCTAATTCTGAGCATATCAGGTTTATTTTATTTGTTTTTCCATTTAATACTTAAGCCAGTTTTACCATTACCTGACGAACACCTTTTAAAGAAGGACATTCCAATTGTTATTTTGTTAGCATGCGCCATAAGTGGTACGATTTTTATAGGAACTTTATCAATTTTTACACTTTATGTCATGTATAAAAAGAAGTGAATATTTTTAATGCAATTCATAATGTGCAAGCATACTAATAAGTAGTTTGTCATTTACATTAACTTAATTTATTAATTAAAAGAAACAACTACAAAAATCACAAGAACTATTTATGTTGCTAATTTATACATAAAAAAGGTGGAATATCTATTAATATGGGTTCCTTCGAAGCCCTGCACCCCACCACGACCTAAAAACAAATGAAATAACAGTTAAAAATACGATAAACGTTCATTATTTGACTTTACATTTGTCGATAGTGCACAGCCCTTTCTGACGTGACAAAAGCTCTTCCTCGGGATCCTCTTGCGACCCTAGTCGTCGACAAAAGTTCTCTGCTGATTTTGTTATAACCCGTTGGTCCAGTGGGTTGTGCGCCACATGTTTCCAACGCAACAAAATCATCCACATGCAATGAAGGAGGTCGAGAAGTATTAGGTGGCCTTGATCGGAACAAATCTGCTCGAGCCTGAACAGTTCGGGGAAACCCGCGACGTGCCATAGGCGTCACTAATTCAACAATAAAAAAAATTTTTTTTAGACATTTCATAAATGAAATTTAAAAATCATTTTTTAGCAAGAATTTATAAGAAATTTGGCACTTCTTTATGAAATAATTTTATTTACCAAATGGTTTTTTCATCTTTTCTTGTTCGTTGACTCCCTTTGGTTTATTTCCGTCCACTTCGACATTATTAGACGGACAAATTCTACACAATTTTTCTACTTCCCTTATCAAATTTACTTCTTGAGAAAAGTTTTGTTTACAGAAGTCGGTTAAATCGAGTGTTATATTTTCTGCTTCGGTTTCTCCTTCATCGGCAGGAGATGATAGCCAATAAGCGCTGGTTAATCTTTCATCAACAATTTCGGTTAATGTAAAAACAGATCTCCGAGAAAATTGAACTAACAGTGTTTCCGGCGCAGGTAAAATAGGCTCCAAAGTGGAATCTTTTGTGTCAGTCTCTGCATTTGAATTTAATAAATTTATTATGCCTGATACACCTTCCAATAAACTATCAAATGTCTTATCCTCTTGAACTAGTTTCTGTAAAACCATTTTTTTAATTACATACACCGTATACAAAAGAAACACAATAATTTACCTTTAAAAGTTCTTCTAGTGTATAAAGTGGATGACATTCATTCTCGTCGCTTGGTTTCTCCCCCTTCCATCCAACCAATGACTTCACTTCCTCAATAGTCATCTTCATTGTTCTAGGTTTGAAAGCTAAGTTTTCTTCTTCATCCTCTTCAATCGTGGCGCATACTCGCAAAAACTCAACTAAAGTATTTAACGTTGACAGGCACTCACCGTTGTCCTTCGAAAAATTTTTGGCAAGTTTATTCAACACGTTCAAAAAGACTTCATTCCTTTTTCTTAACATGTCTCTCAAATGAAAAAAACCATAATCGTGTTCTGTTAAAAGCAAAAACGTTCTCACAATAGGCAAAAAGGTTACAAAAGAATTATCGCTCATCAGGTGTTCAATGATTGTGGAAATGAAAAGAAGTAAATTGTCTCTTGTTGGCAGGGAATTTGCCAAATAAACGTCCGATACAGCGTTCTTTCCTTCTGTAGAATACTGTAACAAAGTGATTTCAGTATCACAACAACTCTGTATGATACTTAAGATGCATTCTTGGGCTTGGACGTGTGAAGTCGATAAGTCGCTTACTTTTAAGACCCGCGCAAAAGCTTGAGGAATCTGTAAATATTTCTCATCCCCTTTCATTACATTAGAATTATTCGGATTAATTAACTGTAACACTGCGCATTTTAAGGTACCATGAGTTACCAGACAAGCTAAGAAGTTTAGTATTCTTGCAGCATGGCTACTACAAATCTCTACTTTGTCTTCTTTTTGTACCAGTTCGCTATAAACCGAGTCCAAAATTCCCCTAGCAATCATTATTGCAGAATTTGCTGCCAAGTCTGATAGCTGCACACAAACTCTTCTTAACAAGTTCAGGAGGGGTTGATGTAAAGATGTACACATTTTGTTAATCATTTCTTGAATGCTGTTGGTATGGGCATGGAGATGTGCTGACCACAATTTCCTTAAATTAATTAACCACGAAATTTCGTCGTTCTGCAGAGGTTCTCGAGTTTGTACAGGAAACGGCAATGGTAACAGTTCCGAGAACACAAGTAAACCGGAAATAAAAGTGTAAGGGGCGGTAGTTGCAAATTTTATCACTTCCCCGCACATCAAAGTCCATAAAGTCTTATTCAAAGAATCTTTTTCACTTACTTCTTCTGATAAAGGTTGCGTGTAAACTAACAATGTTTCTATGATGATTTCGCAAGTTTTTCTAGCTTTTGAAAAAATAGGAGACGTTGATGAGAAAGACTGCAATAAATTAAACGTTTGCAGCAGAGCAGGTACAGACGTGAGATCTTTAAAATTCGTATTACGACACTGAATTACGTACGAAAGCATTTGTTTCAGGAGTTCCACTGAAGGAACTATCACATTTACAATGTTAATGCACTGATTCGAGACGAAGGTGGATGAATGTAAATATGGTTGTTCGTAATAATCGCAAAGTTTTTGCAAAATTTTCGTTAAAACTGCAACTCCATCCAGGGAGAAGAATTGCAAAATTACGTGCTTATATTTAAGTTCTATAAAATTATTAAGAGGATTGTCAGTGTTGTTATTATTGTGCTTTGAAATGCCTAAATAATGAAGAATATGTAAACAAGTTATTAATTGTCCGGGATAACTGGTTACTGTGTCGATATGCTTGTTGATAATATCCACAAAATTACTTATGTTGTCGTAATTTAAAACATTAATGTTCTCGAACGGTTTAACAAAGGGAGCGAATTCGTTTATTTTAGCAGACGCTGAAGGTTCAAAAAAATCTTGATGAGCAATGATTTGTAAAAACTGTTTTGAATACTTTTCTAGTAGCGGAACATTCGGCACGTACATTATTGTCATTGCGATTAAATCAACAATGTATCCTATACCGGGTGATTTTTTCAGCTTACTTAGATGCATTTCTGACTTTTCTTTAACGTGAATCACATCTAAAAATTGTAGTAAGCATCGCAAGTTGTCGTTAATTCCCAAGACTTGGGGACATGCGAATTTTCCTATGCTCGAGAACGTCAAACAGAAAAGTGCATGTAAATTATCTAAAACTTCAGTTGCGTCGCAATCAAATCTGTACTTTTCACCAATGTTCAATAAGCATTCGACGTGAAAAAGAGTTTGAATTTTATAAGCCAGTTTTAGACCCAAGTTATGGGATTTTAAAACCATAGCGTCCGATATTGTGAATTGAATATCATCGTCGTTTTGTAAAAGACACTGCAATAATACGTTCACAGTTTGACAATTAGAAGACAAATATTCAAGCCCTTCTGCACATGATGCGAGTTCTGATAAGATTTTATAAATCGGCGTCTTTATAGAAGAAAGGTTCATAGTATTAGGAAGAGTTAAGAGTAAAACAATGCTTTCAAGAAATTTATGCATTTTAAAGAAATCAGTTAAGACGTTTTTAGTGTCTGTGCGATTTATTTCGAATTGCGCTGCAACTGGAAGAAATCTTTTCGGTTGAGACAGCACAAAGGGACTTAACTGACAATACTCCAGGGTTTGATTGAGGGCTTTAATAATAAAATCAGTGTGCTGAGATTCATCAGTTTCATTCTTCATTTTACCTACTGTATCATGAAGTTTAGAAAGAACTTCAAATAAGTTAAGTTTTCTTAAAATAGACGTCAAGGCGAATTTTAATCGAACTGAAGGGTTACTTTGTATTATTTCTATTAAAGTTGTATACCCGTTTTTCTTTAAAAACGTGGGATGGTCATGAGTTCCGAAACCGTTTTCTTTAGGTTTTTCTTCTTGATTATTTTGTATTATAAACCGTTCAATTGTAGATTTATGTAGTAAGTACGAATTTAATGCTCTTAAAATCATGAGTTTAATCGACAAAGCCATAAACTCTTCGTGGTATAAGTTCAGAAGAATTTCGTCGATGTAAAATTTTCGATTCCAAAGTAAATGAATAAATTCCTCGCTGTTGCTACACCATTCTGCCAAACGAACACCACACTTTAGGTGTCTAATTTTGTATGCCGGTTGATTCTGAGCATTTGCCATTTTGAAATTTAAAGCAATCTCCAACCATTCCATCAATGTGTCGATTATTAGTTGTACTTGGGCAATAATTTCCTCATCTGAGGAAGAAAATCCCTCTTTCTTTTCATGAGTTTTGTCATAAATTTTTGCTATACATAGAAAATGCTCTAAACTTCCCATTGTAGATATAACTTTTTCTCCCAGGTGAATAAACTCCTCTTTGATTTCGCCATTTAAATTTTCAAACTCATTTAAAGTGTATTTTGTTATACTGGATTTGAAAAAATCGTCCATTATTGCAATGGTCACTTTCAAATTTTCTTCGATATCTATAGTTTTTTCGTGTATTTGGAACGGTTGAGGCTTTTCATACTTTTGCAGTTCTGTAGTGCCTGGGATAAATAGTTTTATCAAATCGTCGTTATTTGTATATGAAGTGTAATCATAATCCATATCTTGAAAGTGTTCGGAATCATCCAAAATATCTTCGTCGCTCAAAATAGGTTCAAATTCTTCCTCCTCAATTTGTGGAAGTTCTTCTTTTGGAGGAGATTTGGCTTCTTTAGGTGACTTGACGATAATGTCTGCTTTTTCCTCTTTATCTTGTTCTCTTGCTTCATTTTCTGGGAATGTTTCTTGTTCTTTTTGAATGGTTTCTTTTTGTTCATTTTGAGGGGTATGAGGTCTTTTTGGAGAAGTCATTATTGGAGGTGGCGTCCTGGGTCTCTTTCTACTTTCTTCTCTTTCTTCACGTCCATAACTACGATTTCTGTAGCTGTCCGAATGCTTATATGAACGATCCCTATCCCTGTCTCGATCTCTATCTCTGTCCCGTTCTCTGTCACGATCCCTGTCCCTATCCCAGTCTTTATCTGATCTTTCTCGGTCTCGATAATCGATATTTTGAGGCCGTTCATGATCCCAATCTCTTTCGCGATCGCGATCTCTATCCCTACTCGTTTCACGATAATCACGTGGTGTACGATCGCTACTACGTGATCGCGAAAAGTGCCTACTGTCTCGATCGCGGTCTCTCCTATCGCTTTCCATACGCGAAATGTCTCTTTCATGATTGTCGCTTTTCTAAAAAATAAAAAAATCATTTTTTTTTTCAAAAAAATAAAGACATAAATGAAAAGAAAAAAAGAAAGAATAGTTATCTAGTCATTGCTACTTCAATTCAGAACAACTTACCCCATATCTGTCCCTGTCAATATCTCGCCCTCTTTCGCGGTCCCTGTCCCTTTCTCTGTCTCGATCTCTATCTCTATCTCGTTCTCTATCTCTATCCCGTTCTCTCTCCAGCGACCGTCCTCTACTTTTATTGTCCCAGTCCTGTTCAGGTGTGTGGTGGTAGTTTCTTGGATCCTTTGGTACCTCGTAGTATTCAGGATATTCCTGTTGAAATTGATCTGACTGGGCATATGCTTGTGTATAGGGAGCTGCAGCAGGTTGTGCATACTCTATTGGAACAGGTTGAATTACTTCTGGAGGCCATTCATTTTCGATTGTAGAATTGGGCACCATTTGAGGTACTTCTGAAACTGGATTGGTCTGAGGTGGCATACTTGGAGTTACAACTGGTGGAATTAGTTGTTCTGCGATGTTTGCTGTGAGAATGCCATAAACTGCTAATGTTATTGTAGTGTACCAACCTATGGTTAAAAGAAATATTGATAATTAACTTAAAAAAAAGTACTAATATAAATACCTCTCAAAACTAAGCCATCTGTAGGAATTTTCCTGACAGTATCATTTGGAACACATTCCATGTTAATACAACCATTTTGATTATATTCAAAACCCCCCAAGCTTTCGAATGTACTCGCACCAGTTTTACCTAAATCGTTTACAAAAAATTCAATGGAAAATTGACTTGGGTTAGTAGCACCCAATCGAACACCTCCCGGGAAATCAGCTTGAACTCTGGCTCCTAGTGGAATTATTCTTACTTCGGTAACATATACAGGTTTTGGGAATTGAACTAAATCCAAATTAAGCTCCTAAGATAAAAGATGAATTTCAAACGTGTAAATAATACTTTATGTCTTAAAAACTTACTTCACTGTTGTCATGAGCGAACGTATCGAAAAACAACAATTCCACAGTTTCTGACATTTTTAATTATCTTATGTAAAAAAGCCGTTCAATTCATACATTATTTTGTCTAATACTTACTAATTATTGCAGTAACTGGTAATAAATTAACAATGTTATTTGAATTGTTTTTTTATAATTTGCACATAACCTTATTCATGCATTATTTATTTAATGCTGCTGTGGTTCTCATCTGACAACCCGTTGTTCATTTTATCGTAATATATTTTATTAATATTAATATCATAATTATTGATATTACTTATTTACTTACAGAGATAACTTTATTAAAAAAAAATATGTTTTATTATATTATTCATTTAACTTTATTGTTATTTTATCAACGCCTTTAGTATTTATAAACACTACCTTTCTAACATAAAAAAAATATGTTTTCAGTTACCTAACCACACATTTTTTGAGCATTTGAGTTAATGAGGAATATTTTCTGTAATTGAAAGACTGCCTGAAAAATGCAATTTTCAGTTCAATGTAATTAATAAGAACACCCGTAGATCTTCTAAAAAAATAGCTGTGTAGTACACCTTAAGATAATATAATAATGACTTCGGGTACCGTTGTTGTAGGTAATAAAAACCCAGTATTTTCTGACATAAACAGAGTAGTAAATACTTGCTTATTTTTAGGGGGTGGCAGTGGATTTATTGGTTCATATTTAAGCAAACTTTTAAGTGCTAAAGGGTATGACGTACATATTATTTCCCGTATGCCGGGCATACAAAGGATGACTTGGACAGATCTTAAAGAGAAAGGATTGCCAGAGCCTACAACAGCTGTAGTAAATTTAGCAGGACAAAATGTCCTGGATCCCAGTAGAAGATGGACAACCGGTTTTAAGCAGAATGTTTGGAATTCTAGAGTTAACACAACAACTGCCTTGGCAAATGCAATTAATCGAGCAGAAACAACACCTACTGCTTTTGTAACAATGTCTGGAGTTGGTATTTATAAACCTTGCGAAAGTACAATCTATAATGAATCTAAAGAAACGACAGAATTTGATTTTCTATCAAAGTTATGTCATACATGGGAAAAAAGTGCAGTTTTGCTATCAGACAAAGCTTGTCGTGTTGTAAACCTTCGTAGTGGTGTGGTGTTAGGTAGAAATGGTGGAATGATAAAACAATTATATTGGCCATTCTATCTTGGTTTGGGAGGACCTATTGGAAATGGAAAGCAATATCTACCTTGGATTCATGTTATTGATTTATGTAGATTAATTCTATTTAGTATAGAGAAAAGTAATGTCACAGGGCCAATGAATGCTGTAGCTCCTGACATAGTTACGAATGCCAAATTTACTTCAGTAAGATCAAAGATGGATGTATTAATGTAATACTAACTCTCAATTGTCTTTTAGGTATTGGCTGATACAATGAAAAGACCTGCTGTTTTTCCTGTACCTGCTTTTGTATTGGATGTAATATTTAATGGAGAACGTGCAAAAATGATGACACAAGGTCAAAAAGTGATCCCAGAAAAAGCATCTAATTTAGGTTTCAACTTTTTATATCCTAAAATAGAAGATGCTTGCCGCATTACTATAGAAGGTAAGGAAACAGATAATTTAGAATTTGCGTGATATCAGTTGTGTTGATTTGCTGAATTTGGGTGATATTATTTAGACTGAAATGTTAACTGTTTAATAAAACTTTAGATTAATTTTTATTTCCTTATTTTATTCATACAGTTACAAAAAAGTACTTGATTAAAATACTTATTGCAGTTTATTTCATTTAAAAATACACCTTACATTTTAAATGCCATAATAGTATTTTCCGTTAATAAAAACAAAGTTTTATTAACTGCATATATACCAATAACTTCCTCATCTTTAGGTATATTTAAAACTTGTTGTTGAGCGATATTTTCAACGTTAGTTCCAGTTGTTCGATTTCGTAATGTTCCACCAGTAACTGATTTATTTTGTCTGTACACAAATAAATGTGTTGTAGAGTCACAAATTGCTGAATAGCTTAAGTTAGGTGCACAAACAGAAAACTTTCTTTGTTGTTTTGACGCCTGAAAATATATTACATTAGAAAACATATAGTAAAAATATAACTCGCGTTTATATAATTGAGTATTAAATCCAACTCAACGAATTTCTTACCTGAATATACCCAAAAGCAAAAAGTGTTCCAACATGTTTTAGTAAATTTTCTTCAGCAGATATTGGTTGCCATAAACAGGCATCAACATCATGCCTTGTGGCAAATGCAGGAGGTAAAGACTCTTCTAAATTAACAGTTAATAATACTTGATGTGATCCAATATTGGCCTTATGCGTTATCTCATGGGATATTGAAACCCTTTGAAAGTATGACAATTGGTCATTTTCAAAATCACAGTCTTCTACCTGCTGAGAATTAAATGTCGTCCCCCCGGGGCACTGTTGAGTACTGACCTATTGTTTTAGAATATAATTATTTTTGTTATTAAAATTGTATATTGATTTTTTTATATTTATATGTATTACATTTATTTCTAAAAAACGAGAGAGTTACCCCAAATTACTACTATAATGTTGC